TTTAAATTCTCTTTGAATACAGAGATTGTGTGTGGCTGTATGTAGCTTGCTGTCATTCAAGTTGAGACCTAATAATTTGTAGTATTGGACTGCACTTTGAAACCTGGGTTTTATTTATTCAAGCATTGCCTTGTTGGGTGACTTCAGAGAAGTCGTGTTTTCTCCCTCTGTTTTCCTAGCTTGGTTGTTTTCTGTTGGATATGGGGTTTGGGGGGGGAGGGGGTGGTGGTCTTTTTTTCCCTCCTCCCCTTCCTTTTGTAAAGCGCTTCCTGGATTTACTGCTGAAAAATACTAAAAGAGCTAGATAATTACTTTGCTCCTTATCCAAAGGAATTAACTTGAAAGATTTCCAGTACGTTCAAGCTTAGTAGTAACATACCAGGCATGGGGCCCAAATAGTCTGACATTTACTACGCGAAGCTAAGTTGAGTTTACTCTTTGAAAGTCTCATTTCGCAATTGCCAATGCTATTTTGGACTACGCTGTTTATATAGTAAACAAATGCTTAAGGGTCCAGATAAGGAAAACACGTGTAGTTCTTAGAACATACAGTTCTGAATTTAGGAAATTGCATGTCAGTAAAACAAGATAATTTGTCCTGTGGCATTACGGACCAACTATGCAGCTCTAATAGCAAAATGACTTACCGATTGCTGTGACGCAGTATAGGCAGGCAGCATACGTATTTTAAGACGTTTCATAATTGTTACAACCACAGTAACTCTTTCAGCCAAGAAGAGGCTTGGCAAAAGATTCTTTTTTCTTTCTTTAAATTGGGAAGACAGGTTTTTTGGTATCAGCTATAACTGATAGTAGGTGTAAGTGTATGTGCCTTAAAAGATATTTTGGTTATGGAAAAACACATGGAATGTAATTAAATATAAATTATAACAGAAATATTCCAGATTTTATTCTAAATACTGAAAAGCAGCTAAGGAAAAAGCGCAGGCGAAACCTTCACTGAAATCATACTGTCATTTCTCGCCTTTCTGTTTGCATGAGAAGGATTTCCTGGGCCACCAGTATCCTACAGACGCTGAGCTCTGACTGTGTCTCGGCAAGTTGTCACTTGAGGTTTTTTTCCTGACTCTGTCTCCTAAATCTTGGCTTTTTTGTTCCCTCGATCCTGAGCAGGCGTTCCTCTTTTCTGGGTGGGGCAGGGCAGGAGGGGGCCATCTTATGTCATCTCTCACTCTGTTACCTTCTTGATGCAATAAAACAGGACTTGCACATTCAACAGTTGATCTGTAAAAATTCGGTTTAGTTCCATGATTGTAAGTATCCTGAGAGTCTTAACTGTTAATAATTTAAGTACCACGATCTAATACAAGTCTTGGACAAAACTATTTTGTACAGTGAATTGTCCATGACAGTGTGGGCGTAGAAGGGAAATTAAACATCAGATCCCTTAGTACATTCCAGGAGATAATTTGGACAAAACTCTTCTTTCTGGTCTGTCAGTAATCCTTCAAAACCAGAATCTGGGGGAGGCTTGTTTTCTTTTCTGCAGACTGAGCCCTTGTGACACTTTGTTATTCTGTAGGATTTATACTCGCAGCAGTTTTGCACAACTTGGATGTTAAATAGGAACAAATACGGGCCAAAATGAAGAACTGTCACTCCCCGTGACCTCTGTCATAGGAAATGCTTAAAGAAAGAGTAAACATGAAGGACGTGCCTTCTGACCCCTCTCCTGCCTCCCCCCCGCCCCGATTTCTGGCAAGCTGCTGGCTGGTCCTGTGGCTGCTTCTAAAATGCTGTTGCACTCGATTCGAAGTGTTACTGTGTTGGGTTTTTCCCTCTGTTCTGGAAATACGTCAGTCGAAGTACTTGATGCGTAGTGGACTTCTTTCGGATTTGATTAAACAATGTTTGACTTGCAGATGAGCACTTCTGTACAAATCATGCATGTTGTTATTAAAAAAAAAAAAAATCACTAACAAGCGCTGCAAAGTTGGAATTAGTCCTTTAGGTTTCCTGTTTGTTCTTGGTGCAGGGACAGTCCACCTAGAGTGACGGTACAGCTGTACTTTTTCTCTTGAAATGTATCGAGTAAAATAATTGAATTCAGCATGAAATAGCGATTTGAAAAAAACCGGCAGATTTATTTTATGGAAGTATGATGTTGCAAGTGAAACTTAGCTTATTCTGTTAAACCTTGAGTAAAACGGTTTACTTGACATCAGTTTATATCCCACTGAAAAGGGAAGAGGTGTAAATGTGTATGCATGCATGCGCGATTGGATTGTGCAGGCGATTAAAAAGCCTGGCTAGCGTTACGTTTAATGAACGTTAACCAAATTATTTAGGTTGCTGTTTGGCATTATGGTTAAACCTGAGACGCTTGAGGACTGCACAAGAAACTAAATTAACGATGGCAAAAGGGGAAGTCTTCTGCATGGCCAAGTGGCTTAAGTCAGAGGACGAAATTTGCAAAGTTGACGTAACGCAACAGTAGTCTTCCTGGGCTTTCTTGTTTTCCCCAAAAGTTTTAGGTCAGCCTTTCATTTTTATGTACGAAAAATAAATGTGTTCAAAATTGCATCTCTGTCTGAGTCTTTATTTAAATTGGAAGGATAAATACTTGGAAGAATTTTTTTTAATGTGTCTTAACTGATCAAAGAAAACCCCTTTATGAATCAGCGTAGTGCTTGCAGAACTTAGAAGCGTTTTGCTTGTAGTAGCTTGGATGTTTGGTGCTGTAACCACCGAGGTCTTGTTCTGTGTTCCTCGGGGTAGAGCCTTACCTTCCCCAAGAGCAAAATGTCCAGTGTTGGGACGTCTTCCTCACTGCAAGAAACCTTTGCCTAGAAACACTCATTTCCATGCCGCTGTGCCGGCATTGGCATTGGCCTACAAAGCCGTGAGAGGTGACGTTAGTGCTTTGAGGTGCAGCCTTCTGTAGTCCCACTGAGGCCCAAGGAGACTTCAGCAGTGCTTGCGCTTAAGCGCGCGAGTAAGCGGTTTGCTGGGCTGAGACCTAGAGGTGAAGCTCTCCAGCAAGCGTGTGCCTTACACCGTAATGTGGAAATACTTCTGACAAAGCAACGGCTTTCCAGGAGCACTTGCTACAGGCAAACGGTAGTTGGTAGTTGCTACAGGGAATGCATGAGGAGCTGTTTGGTGTTTGTAGTGAGTCGCAAACCCGCTGTCTGCTCTTACTACTTTTTCTTTCTCTCCCCCCACCCCCACCCCCCCGTACTGTGTACTGAATCGGTGACTTTTCTTCTGCATTGTATGTCGCAGGCCGAGACTGACTGACACCTAAGCCTTCAAGACTTGTGAATATTCTGCAGCTATAAACTGCAAATTATTGCCATGCAAAGCGAGACATGAACCCCTCTTCGGGAGCAAAAAGTGAGGTCTGTTAAGTACCAAGAAGGCCTCAGTTATCTGTTTACAGCGTAAACTGCATCGAGGAGATGAAGACCACCAGCAGCGTGCTACTTTGCAAAACAAAATAATTTGCCGTCTTGTGTTTTTATAATGCCTGTATTAATGTAGAAAGATGTAAAAGAAATAAATTAGGAAATATTTTGTTTTGTACTGCCATTCTTATTGTATTTTTATACTTTTTGGCAGCATTAAATATTTTTTTAAATTGACAATATGC